ATAAGAAGTTACTCAGATACTTTCACCGCAACTGCAAATGCAATGAATAGGAAGTATCTACATTTGTTTAGATAATGTCTGGTAGCTGTTTTTCAACTTTGTTTTTGCATCAGTTGCACCACTTTATCTCCTAATTCATTCCCGATAGTGTGATCACCTTATCTGCCAAATGTTGTGTCCCGTCTGTGCTCCCTCCCAGCTGCTCGTGCATCTCCGTGGCAGAGCATGGAGGGAACACAGAACGCGTGGATAGAACATTTCCTGTCCGCAGTGTTTCCAATAAATTGTGTTACTAGTGCCCGCGGTACAAAAGTTACTGTGTATTTAGGAGCACAAAAATAGATGCTCGCTCCTTGACGGTGCCTTTCGGAAATGTAACAAATACACCCGGTGGCTTGAGAGGGGCCGCGGTGCCGAGCGCTCAGACGGGACCGCTGACAGCGCCGGCGGCCAGCGGCCAGCGCTTCCTCCCGGGGGATCTGTGGCTGCGTTAAGGCCACCGAGGTGGGGTGACAAGTTGAGCCTTGCTAGTTACTCTGCAGCTGTAAATCAGCGTTCTTGTCATTCAAAAATCTAAAATTAAACCAAACATTTTAATTTGACAAATATCCTTCTCCTCCCCCCGCTTTTTAGAAATTTTTTTCCCCTCAAAAAATATTGCTGTGATATCTTTTCCCTCATATTATTCTCATTTTTTTTTCAGTATTACTTGGATCCTCCAGTTAAATTGAATGAAGCTCTTGAAAGATATGGCTTGAAAAAAGATGACTTCTTTCTCTTACACCATGGAGAATCACGGAATTTGAATACAAACGACCGGTTTGAAAACTGAAACAGTGTCAGTTCCTTGTAAGCCCTGTTTGATTTGAACTAGCAGTTAATGTTACAATACTAACATAATGTACAAAATAGATTTTTGAGATTGGATTTCTAAATGCCAGGTTTGTCAGTTTCAGAACTAAAGCTTGCATACCAATTTCATGACAAATTTTACTGGTTATATTGTTTATAAATTTAGAGAGGTGATCTAAAAGTGGTTTATTTATTAAGTGTTGTCTGGGAATAACTTGGTGGATGTACACCACTGATAAAAAAAAAAATAAATTTTTAAACTCTTCATCTTACCTGCAGCAGCAATAACAACTTCAGCACAGAACATATTCTTAGGATTAATGGCTGACTTGAATTATTTATTGTTAGACTGTCATCTCCCACTTGTTAGTCTTCAGGTTATGCCCTGTACCTTGATGTACAAGCTTCATACAGCTTCACTGTATGTTTTGTGGGGTGAAGTCTTCCAATACAGCTGTGTTGTTTAAGCACAAGCATGGTAAAATTGTTTCACTCTTTATTTTCATGTATTAATGAACCACAAAAGCTGAATTTTACATCAAAGAAATGTGCCTTTTAAAGAAAGAGATAATTTAATATTGCATCATGGATGTGTAAAACTAACTGCTGGCCAGAATATCTGCACACTTTTATTGTTTTGTCTGTTTTTAAGTTAGGTCTGAATGTGTCAATTGCAGCACATGAAATGGAAAAACCTCTTAATGTTGCTTGTCCTTGCATTAACTCAGCCTTTTTCTAAGTACTTTTTCCCCCCCACCCCCAGCAGAAAGTGTTAAGCAAGGGCTGTGGTATTTTTCTAATAGCTTCCCTATAATTTTAAAGTTGAATGAGATTACAACATTGTTCAGTGTTATAAGACTTGGCCAAATGTGTCTGTATCAAATTGTCTTGCTAATTGACAGAATTAAAGCCTATTGTTGCCAATAAAAAGGGTTGTTTTTCTCCTTCATAATTTCATTGGCAAATCATGTTTTGTTTATAATTTCTTTTGGTCTGTGGGATATGTGGGTTGGTTGGGGATTTTTTTTTTTTTGCTCTTGCTGTACATTTTATTTTCATATCCCACAAAGACAAATATATATAAAAAAGACATTATTTAAAGGCATGAACTTCTGGCAACTAATTAAAACCAGTTAATGAGATTTCATGGTAGGAAGAACTGAGGTAATCTTTTAACTATAGACAGTTATCAAAACTGGTTTCAAATTACCCTGTTATTCAGTGTTGGGGGTGTTTCAGATGAAGTCTCTTGTATTTACACAACAACTTCAATCACAACTTGGGTGATACAATGTATATTACCTGTTTGTAATTTTGTGGAGGACACCAAGCTGCAAGAAGTTTTGAGTACTTTGAAGGGCAAGTTTAAGATTAAGGTTGGTTTTGTTGTGGGTTGTTTTCTTTTCCTGTTTTTATAATCATCAATAGGTTATTCTGTAAAATTACGTACTTCAGAAAGAGTGAAACTAAAATACAGAACACCTAGCTAAGCAGCCACAGAGCAGAGATCTACTGAGTTACGTGGATCAGAAGTTAAATGTCAGTAATGACATGTTTTGTTTTGGATCTGTTAATTCACAACATATGTACCTAGAATGGTGACCATTACGTTTTGCTTGGTGCTGATAAGATTCCACCAAAGGTGTGAGGTAGGTGATAAAAAATGAGACATCTTTGCATAAAGGCACATTGGAAAGTCTTGCATGATTTCAGACATCTCAACAGCGTTGTTCTATGAAGAAAGCATTTAAAAATAGTTCTTTCTAGACCAGAAAAATAAAACTGAGACAACACTGTAGCAAGTTCTCATGTATTTTTAGAAAAGGTCACTTGTTTGTGTCAGCCGTTAAAGCAATGGATAAGAGATCAACTCTATCAAAAAGTTGATACTGGAAAAACTTATTTTTAGGTTGGAGAACATGGAAAGAGACTTCTAGACATCTCTGTTATTGAGCTTAAGAAACCATGTATCAGCTATATCTAGAACAGACTGGTTCTAATGTCTTGTCAGGAAAGGAGGGTATGTAAATTCTTAGTGTCTGGCCTGGTTTTTACCTTTCTTAGTCAAATTCAGCAGCAGAAAATATTAAATCTACAAAAAGTTGCAAAACATTAAGTGATTGTAATGTAACTTGCTTATTACAAACTGTGCAGTGTTTTAGGAGCAGTGGGAAGGAAAAAAGGAAGTTCACTGTCAATGCAGCAATTGTCAAGTTTCTGACTGGGAATCATGCCAACTTCTATTTCTGCCTTAACTGTGTTCCTGGTGAGTTAAAACTACCTACGTGGACAAATTAGATATGTGTAGCTTTACCCCTGTATTGATCAGGGCATGGGTGTCTCACAGTTTCAAGGTCATATTTTTCTTGCAGTTTTAGCTATTTGCAAAGTGACCTCCTGAAAACAAGTATCTACTGCATTACAGAATGAGATTATAGTAATGTTTTCTTAAGAGCAGAGTGAGTAAACTAAATTAGAAAGATGAAGCACTTGGTAACAGTTTAGATGATACAGTTCTCTTCAAAACTGAACAAAGTGGAAAACTTTCCTAGCCTCTACATCTGACACCTTTCTTAGTTTGTCTGTAGTGGAAGTTTTTTAGCAGTTTGGTTTTAGAAGTATTTTCCATTATGTTTTCTGTTCATCAATGAAACTCTGTTCAGGTCCTTTTGCAGTGATGTTTGTATGAATTCCACTTCATTTTGAATTAATGCTGGGTTGCTGACTAAAACTTTATGGGGGCTCATTCTGCAGAAGCACTCATTCCAGTGATGCTCCAGTTGCAGAAAAAAAAAAAAAGGAGTAAAGATATCCAAGGAAAGGAAGCCTAAGGACTGCTACAGAATTGGAAGCTTTTGTAAAAATGTGTATGATACTGCTCCTGTAGACTTTTTTTAAATAAGAATGAGAACGCTGAATTGCACTTGCAGATAATCCTTGACTCCTAATAAAATACTTTTTAAAAATATGTCTTTTCCTAAAGTGACAATTTTAAAGCAACATAAAATCATTTCAATTTTTGTTCAAGTCTAGAAACTTTTTGCAGTTGTGGTTAATTGCACTGCAGTTTGGCTAAATGGAGTGGATAAACTAAGCATACAAAAATGGAGTTTAAGAATAAATTCCATACAGGTATGACAAAAAAAACCTAGGTTTGGTGACTTTAGTATGCAGCTTTCATTGAAGATACTTATTCTGTAGGAAGCCAATGATAGTTTGGTATTGTTTTTATTTAATATTATTTTGTAAGATTCAGCTGTACCATTTTCATAGGTAGACTAATCAAATATAAATGCCTAATCTCCAATTGCTAAATCTTTAATGCACAATTCTAATGAGGTATATATTCAACAACTGTAAATACTTGAAGTAAAAAAAAGGTCTTTGACATTGCAAAGGATATTTTCATTCACTTCACTCATCCATTTAAAATTTCATTTTACATATAAGTATTTTCATGTTTTAAACTGTTTGCCCCCATTGCATAAATGTAGCAACTGTGCAGTGGTTTATCAGTAATAATTAAGCTTTTCTCTTGCTTGTAAAAAATATCTGTTATGCTCTCTGTATTAAATACATGGCATTCTCTTTTGTAGTAACTAATTTGTGCCTATTAAAATGATAGTATTTAGGGCTTTTTTTTCTCCATCATTGTTGTATTGTTTACTTGGTGCAGGCTTTTTTAGCATAGCATTGCCAAGATTAGATATTTTCATCAGGTCAGTCTGTTTTAAAAAAACAACACTATTGTGTTAATATTCTCACAACTTGTTCTTTCACTTCTGTGTCAGGGTGATGCAGCAAAGATGCCAGTCTCTGAGCGAATGGGGCAGAGTCCCTGCAGAGTGTGAAGAAAATTGAGTCTTCACTGTGTTCCTCAGTCGTGGTGCCTTCTTCATCATTCATGTTCTTTTTCAAGTTTGCTGCAAACACCAGGGCTCGAACCAGAACATCTCTGTTTACACAGCTGTCAAAAAGTAACACCAATGATGGCACCTAGGATATTGAAGAAATAGTCCATGCTTAATCACCAGCAGTAAGTACATGTAACTAAATCCAACTTAAGAAAATGGAAAAGAATGTGCACCTCAACCATCTAAAGTAGAAATTGTATGAAATCCCAGTATACTGTGAACTCCTGGCAGAAACCTGCACAGTGTGCACATTTTCTCTCTAGAAAAGACTGGCCCGTGCATCAGTGGGCTAATAAATGCTTTGTGTTTTCCATCTCCAAAATGTGGCTGTCTGAAAAATTCCCATTTGGAAGAGAGGGTCTCCTTTCCTTCTCAGCCATGCTGATTTTGCCCTGAATGTTTTTGTCAGCACATCTGATAAATGAAAAATGATGCACTTAACAGAGAATTGAATATTTAGCTACACTAACCTCGTCTGAGTAACGAAAAGACAGCATTATCTAGCTTTGCTCATGGCAGATAGCTCACAAATAAAAGCCATTGCACATTTTAAGAAAGTTACTTTGGGGAGGGGGATGAGGATGCAGCAATTCCAGCCCCTCGCTTTGTCTGTGAGGAATTGAAACTGAAGGAAACACTTTGTGTGCCAAGGCCAACACAGCAAATGTCACACAAATTTCTCCATGAAGAAATAAGTAAATGCACAGGGAAAGTTCACTTAGAGCACTTAGAGGCAACAGTTTTATGGCTATATTTGAATAAAGGGGTGGGGATTCCAGTGGAATTTGGTTGGGTTTGGTCCAGTACATTGGCTATAGAAACAGCAGTTGAGAAGGATCACTTACAGTACTGGTTCTATTTTTTAATCCATATACTGACTGTGTGTCTGGAAGTGAAGTTTTGGGTTCAAATGTAATAATACAAACTGGAGTTCATGGTATTATCCCTTTTGTGGAAAGGGAAGGTTAGAACAGGCTTCTGCAAGTTATCATTGATTATTTGGAATGGTACACAGGAAGTACAACCAACTGTCTCCAAGGGCACAGGCCCTGTGCCTCTCCCTCTCTAAGTACAGTATCTGTATTACACTACCCTCTGGAATAAAGCCCACCCGTGAAAGAATGTGCACTTAGCTACTGATTTTAACAAAGCAGTGTCCAGAGTTTATTCTAGAATTGCATGTATATTTCTAATACATTAAAATTCTTCTAGTGCATGCAATATCTAAACTGGTACACATGTATATATGCTAAAAATAAAATGAAGCAGCAAGAACCTTACTTCAGCTCTGAGAAGATGTCTTGTCATGGCTGGGTTTGCAGATAAGTTCACAAGTACTTTCAAAACTTGAATCTGAAGTGAGGAATGTTCAAGTTCATTAAAAGCTCCAAAACAGTAAGTAAAGCTGTAATGGGTATCAATAATATCAAAGTTGACTTGGGGAGGAAAAGGCAAAATAGGTTAACCAATATCTTGAGTATTTTGCTATAGGGAAAACCAAGATATAGATATGTTAGAAGCAAATTAAGATTGACTTAAACATCAAAATAAGGCAAGACCCATAACGAATCCTAGGCCAAATGCAGAATATGTTTAAAATACAAAGAAGATGGTTAAGTATTGAATTTAAAATAATCCAAAGCATATACAAATACACCTTTGTGCTTTCTTGGACCTTGTGATGCTAGTCTTTAAACACTAGGAAAAGGCCATATTACTTCCTGTACTGAAGTACAATAGGTAGGTTTTATTTAGTGGAAATGATTTTTTTGGAAAACTCGTTTTGATCTGATAGAGCAGCCACATACACTGATGGTACCACAACATCTTGAATTAAAGCTGAGTTTGGTCCCTATCTGAAGCTCATTTCAGTATTGCAAGTCACAAGTAAGCACGATTTCCACTTGCAGTTACTAAGGTTGCCAGAGGTGTCATGAGCATAACGGAACTAAAGTCCATAACGTAGGATCACTGCTTGGCATGTTTCCCTACAGAGATTCACGCATCAGTGAAGCCTTTCCCATGCAGGTTCTCCTTGCTCTGTGATGCAGCAGCAATGTTTAATGCAGAAGGGAATTCTGGAGTTGCTATGGTAAAGGCACAGGGCAATCACAGTGCACCCTGCACTGCTTTGGTAGAGCTGCAGCCTGATGGTTCCACTACCAAGATTCCCTTCCCTCCCCTGTTTTTGAATTTATACTGTGAAACTAATACAGATCCATATTTTAGTGCATAAAATCTGTTATCATTAATGAATGTTTGGTTTTTCTTAGCACAGTCTAAACCATTTTACCAAAACGTTAAGAAACAAGGCAAGCAAAGCAGCTTAATAAATGGCTTGTAAAAATAACACTACCCAGTACCTGTGTCCTTTCAGTTCCTTCTGAAAGCAAATGAAGAAAGCATGGAATTGAGTTTATCATCTTTTGGTGGTAGTCACTGGTAACAGACATATTTGTCAACAGTCTGAGTCCAGCTAGCTGCACATCAGAGTTCAGGGGAGCTGACTCAACAGTCCTACAAACTTGTGTAATAAATACCTGGGGAAAGTGGGGAGGAAATAAAGAGAGAATAGTTTTTAATAAAAGCATATTTTCTGTCACAAATAGTAACAATGGCCTAGCTACAGTAACATAAATATTTCCTGAACATTGCTGCCTGAATGGTGAAGGTTCTTGGAAACGAGTATGTTTTTGTTTTGAATATTTCAAACATTCTAGTGGCATGACAGAAGCAGACCATACAGCATTATGCTCACTAATCTTCCTGAAACATAGCTTGTTCTGAAAACTTAAATTGCTTTGCCTCCATCTCAGAAGTGACACAGCTGCTTTAAGGAGTTGTTTAAAAAATCACTTATAAATAACTAACATCTTAAATATTGAGAAGAAGCTAAGGACAAGCTTTGAAATGAAATCCTTTCTCCCAACCATGTGCTGAATTTACTGGAGCACACTGTAGGAACAGCAATGACAACTGACATTAACTACTATTTTTACCAATTTTTCTTCTGGATGAGAGTGTACAATGAATCTTGGAGTCCTAACTGGGGAAAAAAAAATAATTTACCCTTACCAAAGGAGTTATTTTCTACTTATACCCTAGACAAATATTGACAAGCACTACTTAATAAAAACTGCCTATTGCTAAAGATGCTGCAAACTACCACATGCAGTCACACTACCTTTTTATCAAGCTACTGAAACAAACTAGTAAAAATCTTCAAATCTGTCTGAGCTTACCACCTGGACACCTTGATCTATTGATTAATAAGATAGATTTCTTTTTTCTTGATCTTTAGTCCTTTCATATCCATAGCATGTACTGTATTTACCAGTGGAACTTGTTATAATTTACATACTTTTCTTTTAAGATAAAAGTATCACCTGAAAAATCCATTCTGTCAAACAGCCACTGGTGATGTTCTAGGCATGTTTGGAAATCATCTTACCTCACATAATTTTGCTATAATCTTAGCAGCACAATCTCTCTTTAATAGTAGTTTGTGAAAGCTGAACACAAACTGCAAAGGTTCCTGTTTTTTATTTTAAAAGTAGATGCCAGTGAAGCAATGCATTTCAAGTTATCCTTGCAGTCATCCAGATCTGCTGCCTTGTATGTCTATCATCAAAGCATTTTGGCATCCTGACTTGTATTTAACAAATATGCTGAAGGACCTATACTATCTCTTTGCCTTGGTTACTTTGGTTTTTCCCATTAAGAATCTTACCTGTATCTCTTCCTGATTTTTAATATTCATACTCAAATTATTAAGTGCATTTAGTGCTTTTTCTTTAACTTTGGGCACGCAGTTGGAGAGCATCCCTCCAATAACAGAAAGACCATCCAAATTTCGGATTATATCCTGAAATATAAAAGACATTAAATGGGATTTTAAAAAATTCAATTTAAATGCTGAAGCATTCCCTCAACCTCTCCATATTGACAAAAATGAAGTATGTGAATGAAGAATTCCAGAACTGACTGCTCTGTTTAAACAGTGTTAGCAGATAATTGCTTTATTGCTTTACTGAAACTAAGAAGGGTCCTGCTTAGGAACAAAACTATTAGTTGCTGTTATTTGACAATAGCACGTCACCTTTGCTTTTAAAATCTGGTCTGCAAAGCATGCTTAAAGCTTTTTACATTATAAAGAATAAAAGGAAATTACTTGATAATGAGTTAATTGAACAACTGAGCCAGACTGCAGTACCTAAAAGTCCTGCCTGAACAGGACATAATTTCAAGATGTAGCTTCATATTATTAGAGGTTCTGAAACTTTTTCCATTACACTTGTTTTTATTACTGTTTTAATCTTTCTCACTTAGACTGTAACTGTCTTTTTTAAAAAAATACTGCTCTAAAAAAATTAATTAAATGGACCAATGAGCTTTATGCTCCAGTTGCATTCTAAAATATTTATATTAAGAAAGGCATTTTGAGAAGCCAGAATAGATGGCAACCATAAGTAGCAAAAAGGCTGGGACCTCGGAGGTTAAACTGTTAAAAAGGCATGAACATTGGCGTCCAGCTCAAAGTTTTTCTGCACTCTATGATTTGGAGATGGCTCAATAGTTGTAAAATTGCTAATGTGCAAACAGCACACAACTTTGTGAGGGATGAAAAATATAGTTTATCTCACTAAACTTTAGATCTGAACCAGAAAGTATTTAACCTAGTATTCAACCCTTTCATTAACATTGCATAATTGTAAGCAACAAAAGATATATTTACAACACTTTTGAAGTACAAGACTTTGTATGGACTTTAGGTGGTCCAAACATTATAATTTGATAAATTCTGTGAAGATGGCAAGTTATATTATTTGGGCCTGCAGAAATTAAGGCAAAACATTAAATGGATTTTAGAGCACAATCTGTCCTAGCTTTCAGTCCTGTGTCACTTTTTAGCAAAACAGCAGCTCTCCTCTGCCAGACTGGCTGGCATTGGACACTGTTGTTTCTACAGAACAATACTCACTTGATTTACAGAGAAGGCAGCACTGTTGCTGAGAGTGATTAAAGCTTGCTCTTGAATTAATGGATCATCTGTGGCCTGGAGCAAATGAATAAGTTTCTGTAGAGCATCCACATCCAAGGTATGGGTTGACACTGGAGGACTGCTGTCTGTCAACATTTAGAAATTAAATACTTGATACTAAGTTTGAGACATTTCACTTAGTTGCTGTTTAATGTTTTTTACAAAGCTGAAATTTAGCTCTTAGTTGTAGGACATACTGTTCTAATGTTGTGCCAAATCATCACGTCATGGTAAAAAGACTGTTTCATGACACTAAGATTTCCATCCTTTTCCTGAGTCCTCTAATTACCTCTTTTGAAGGTGGAGCATAAAAGGAACACACAATTAGAGGTTGAGATGCATTACTTCCTGGTTAACCAATAGCAAATTTCCTCTGCAAAATTATTAGGAATATTCACCAAACATGGTTTGGGGTTTTTTTTGTATCCCCAAAATGAAATGTGGAAATCTGTCTGGGCACTGTAGGAAACAAAACCTCCAGTTTACAGACTACTACTTCCAGAAATTATAATAATGACACTTTGCTGGTACACTGAGGTTCTTTGACAAAGTAACAGCCGTCATGTTAGGAACTCTGCTGATCATAGCATCACTCAAAACAAGGAGGAAGGCTGGTTCTGAGTCAGGATGATGTCATGGAGTACCTGACCTTTATAAAAGGGCAACAAATGTTATCAAAGGCCATTTCAGCCAGGTTGGAGGCAGAACTATTCAGCCAGCTGAAGCGCCATGAAACCTGATCAGTGACTGCTGGACTAGTCATGGCTTACTCGAGGTGACTTCTGAGAAGCTAACAGTGCTTTAAATTCCACAGCTTTACATCCAACATTTGACCAGGGAAACACCATAGTATTCTTTCGAGATTAAAAAAAGTCAAAGTTAATTATGATGATTCAAGGGCTCACTTCAAAAACAAAACAGTTTTTCATCCTCATCTAAACACATTCCGCTTAGCTTTGAATTATAGGGGGAACACAAATAACTGCAATAACATAAGTAAACACTGATCAGACGTACGCTTTGGGAGACAAATAAATTAAAAAAAAATAGGCTTTTCTAAAAATAAACCACACTCCAGAGTGCCCCAGATTGCCACAAGGCCATGGAGGGCCGGGACTCGGGACAGTGGCACCGCCTCTGTCAGGGCGCAGAGCCACCTGCGTGCCCCGAACCACGCTGCAGGGCCGCGGGCTGGGAACGCCCCGGGCCCCGCGGAGCCTGCCCCGGCCCCGCCGCACACCGGAGGAGCGAGGCCCGCCCTGCCCTGCCCCGGCCCTCACCTGCCGGCGGGCCCTGCACGGCCGCTGCTCGCCGCCCCCGCTTCCCGCCCGCCGCCAGCCGCCACAGGCAGTAGCAAGCGCCGGCCCCGAGCAGCAGGGCCACCGCCGCCGCCCTCACCGCCGCGCCCCGCGGCTCCCACATCGCCCCGGCCGCGGCTGCGTGGCCCGCGGAAGCCACCGCCCCATCCGGCGCGGCTCGGCGGCGGCTCTGCCCTTCCCTCGGGCCCCGGGCGCGGGGGCTGCGCCTGAGGTGCCGCAGGGATGCCGAGCCCGCAGCTCCGTGTGCGGGGCGCGGGAGAGGCTCCGCCGCTGCGTGACCACGATGCGCTGCAGTTTCTATTCTACAGGAAGGAATCACCCGCGCTCCGGGCCGGCCTGGTCCCACAGCGCGTTCCGACACAGGCTGCCCGCTCGGGAAGGCCGGTCCTGCGCCATGGCAGCCCCTGGCGGGGGCACATCATCCCCAAAGTGGGGATCGCCGTCTCCGCCGCCCCCTGGGTGTCCAGGCGGTCGGCAGCCTGGTCCCGCTGGAGCCGGTGGGACCACAAACTCCCCGGGTAACATCTGTGTCAGGAAGCACCCGCCGCCCTTCCCCACGAAGGGTCCCCCTCAGCAGAGCCCCGGTCCCGGCTCGTTGCGCCCCTCAGCGCTGGCGGGGGCATCTCACATCCCTCCCACTGCTCTCTCCCTGGGGCACGATTTTGGTCTGCTCGTTTTGTCGTTGGCATGCTTCAAATGATTTATGAAAACTTCAGGAACAGTAACAAGATGGAACAAAGCAATTCTGCTTTATAATCTATGTTAAAACGAGGATTTAGATGGAGACGAGCCCGGTGAACTGCATTGGCACGTTCCCTGTTGCGTTTAACTTCTGTGTTAATTACAGAAGAACCTCTAGATTCCAGCCAGGTAATTCCTTCCTCATGAGTGGATGCAATCCATGTTTTCTAACCACCTCTCGGTGGTAAAGATGACACTGATTATGCTTCAGATATGCTGGTGGATTAGACATTCTTGTTAATACAGTACATTAGAGTAAATATTACAGTAAATATACTTCTATAAAATGTCAGAGAGTAAAACTGGCACAGCGTGAAGGACTGTGGGGGAAACAGGGTTGGTAGGTTTGCCCTTAGAATTTGCAAGGTGATTCTCTGTGTTTCTATGTTTTCCTCCCTGTTTGTCATGTTCACCTCTACTTGTTACCAAATCTGCAGCAGCTGTTTTTCAGTTTCCTTCAAACAAAAAAAGGCACAATGCACAAATGCAAGTTTAAGAGATATCCTGATATATTTAAGCTGCCAAAATAGACCCCATTTGCAATCAGCTATTACAGCCAGGATTTCCATGGAAATACTAATAAAGAAATCTTGAGCAAATTACAATAATTACAGAGCAGTGCTGCCATGTTGAGTACTTCTCCTGGGAGTCTGTCTCTAGGTCATTCTTTGCTTTCTAAACACAAAAACCCAAATTATAAGATGTATCAGCATGATACAGTCTGTCTTGATTCAGCACTTAAAAACCAGCTCATATCTTTCCAAGCAAAAGTTATAACATTATAGCGCTATAACAACATTATAGCAGCACTGAAATTATTGGACTAAAAATGAAAGAATTGAGGATAAGATTAAAGGACAACTCTTTCAAAAAGAACCAGTTAAAAATTAGCCTCTGTAAGATATTTTTATCCATGTTTTTCTTGTTTCTTAGAGGTTGTTGCATGCTGATATCTAGCCATATTTCTTATTTAATTTTGTTATATTTTAATTTCTTTGTGAAGTTACAGGATGCTTGGTGTGAAGATAAATGAGATGATACTGGTCCTTTTATTAAGGAACATCAAAGCTGAGACCTTTGAACATTTATACACATAGTCTCAAATTTAAGGATATAGAGTTCTAAAATGGTAATTTACTTAAGTCTTTTTATGATGAGGTTGTGGTTTGGACATAATCCAAACAAGTTGAAGTCCAAATAATCTTGTCCACATAATTTAGGATTCCCTGCTGGATCTGAGAATTTCCTTCCTGTCTGATTTCTGTCTGTTCTCATCCAGATTTACTTTTAAACAGTATTCATTAAAAGTCATGCAAAAACTGTAATCCTGCAAACACTCTGGTGTGTGACAACTTCACTGTAGTTAGTAGCTGTATTCTTACAATGTTAGTAGTAAATATGGATGAAGAGCTGGCCTAAGATTTTTCTGCTCTGGGACCCAAATTAATTTTGCCATGAAGGGTAAATGGCTAAAGAGGTATTGAGAAGAAAGGCTGAAGACATTGGTGAGGGACTCTTCCAGATTGCTGAGAGACTTGTAGAAGTCTAATAGAAAGAGCCAGACTTGTACAAACCTAATTGTTTGGCATAAATGACACAATTGTTTCCTGTTTTACACCTAGCCCAAGCATTATCGGCGAGTACTTGAATGAGGATTGCAAGACAAGGTGTTACAATTCCTTCCTTAATTAATATTCTCAAATGTTCAACAGAGGCATTGCATTCCAGTATATCCCTGGATAGACTGGATTTCTTGTGTTGGGGAACTTTCAGAACACCCAAAGGAGAAGAATTTGTCAGTTTCGTTGAAAAAGGGGTAGGGGGAAAGGCAAACAATACTTGAAATAAAATATGGCAGTCACATACTGGTTTATCCAGCAGAGGGAGTAGTTTACCAGTGTTGAGAAAGGCTGTGGGAATCTGCCCATAGGAAAATTTGTGACAAAACCCATTTAGCTGTTTATTATTTAAAATATTGCATGCCATGAGTTCCAATGATAAGTGATGCATTTATATTTTTTTAATATAGTCAACGGTCAGCCACACCTTGCAAATTACATTTCTGTTAAGAGGATTGAAAAGGTGCTAAGGTTGGAATTGGTGTGTTGACTAGTGTTGCAAATATTCAGATGTCTAAACTGAAGACAATGGCCTTTAATTTTGTCTTCACCTTTTCGTATTGGTCTTGACTTAGATTCCTGGAAGCACAGAACATTTGGGTTGGAAGGAACTTTCAAAGAACATTTAGCGCAACCACCCTGCCATGAGCAGGGACACCTTTCTTTCACTTGATCAGCTTGCTCAAAATACCATCCAGCCTGACTCTGAACATTTCCAATAATGGGGCATCCCAACAACTTTTGTTCAGCTATCTTCAGAGATCCCTTCCAAGTGACATCACTGTCTGATTCTGTCCCTACGCAGGGTACTGATTAGAGCATGGAAGGCCTGTCCTCTACCTGCCTGCCCTGCTCTCTGTCTCTGCAGGGCAAGGGGCAACTTGACAGGCAACTTGCCTTTTTTGCCTTTGTGCCATGCATGGCTTTTGCTCTTTGTCCACAGCATGGGCTTGATTTAGAGCCTTCCTGTTTTCCTTTGTACTCCCACCATGCTTTCTGAAAAGGATTCAAGCACAAGCTCCACATTAATTTAATAACAGCAAGAGGCCATGTCTTGAAAGGAAAGTAGTATTGCATGCCATGTTTTGACATTTTTACCAGCCACAAGAACTTTTTGTTTATAATTTGCAATAAATATTCACTTAAATAACTGCAATTTGCCCATATATATTAATATACTTTGAATGTTCTTGCTGTATGTGAGCTGAAAGTCCAAAAGTAAATGATCCATGTCCTTTAGCTGAAGATAGTCAAAGGACAAATGAGAAAAAATGGTTCATTAGTTATTGTGCATTGTTACTAAAAGATAATGTAAAATTGTATAATAAAACAATCCTGAAAAGCAAATATTTTTTACCTGCATTTTGTTTTCAGTGTTGGTTACAGGATCAGTTTTTGCCCATTCAACATACTCTTTACCTCATAGTATTAAACTTGCTTTAGGTTCTGTTTCTTATTAAGTAAATAAAATTATCCTATCTTATATACATTTTTTTAATGCACATTAAAAGCAATGAAATTCTTTGTAGGAATTGCTGAAGAAATGCCACTTATTTTACTATTCTAAAATCAGTACATAGGAGACTACCAATGGAATTATGCTGATATATGCAATATTACCTTTAAAATTGAATGAAAGGGAACTGGTAAAAAGAAATGCCTCTATTTTGCAGTACTTTAAAAGATTCTGGTAAACTGTTGTTTATTTTAACAGCTTCATAACTAGATGGTACTTTGCTGTAAATACAAGGAATTAATTTGCAGTTTCTTTTAGAAGGTGTTGCTCTGTGTTGTATTTATTGCTCATCCAGAAGGTCCACTTACATTTTTAGAAGAAAAGCTGAGAGAAATAATGGCAGAGGGATTAGATACTTTCTTATGATACATACTGAATTATTCTCTGGGTGTGTGTGCTATGTGATAATATTATTATAATATTGCACTTGGACTTTAAAAATATGCTAATGGTACTGCATCTTCTATGTAGACTGCAACTTAAATGATAATATTGCTTTTTGCAAATATTGATGGCATATGATATTGCAAAAACAGTAAGACAATATGTCTAAAAACATAGAATATATTTTATTTTTATATCCATGGGTTTGGGGGTGGTTGGGGTTTTTGCTTATTTGTTGGTTTTTTTTTTTTTTTGTCTACAGAATATTTAATGAATATAGCCTCCACTTAATGCTCCTCTTTGTTTAGTTGATATACTAAACCCTTACTTTTGTGGTAATCAAAACTGAGATGATGTTAAGTCTTTTAACTTAATTGCTGTCCACAGCACATTTACCTATATGAGCCAGGGATGTGTCTTTCAAGCACTGCATCTTTAAGTGAGGTATTTCTCTTTTTTTTTTTTCTGTTCTCTGTGTGTTCTTTCACCATGTGAAATGAAGACAGCACAGCATGAGATAAAAAAAATAAGGATTTAGTTTTGTTTATACTGGAATCTTAGAAAATAATGTGATATTTCTTGCTTTAATATTCTCTGCGTTTTTCTGTCTGAAGTTTTCAATGGGGTGTGAGTAATAAATCCTTAATCTTTGGATCCACTCACTAAACAAGTGAGTCAGTAAGTTGGCATGCAGTGTGGCTGGATTTTTCTCTTGATTATCTCTGTAAAACTGTACTCAATTTTGTCTTCTGTTAGTACATCTGTCCTGAGTTCACAGCAATTAAATTTCAGCTGTTTCCTCTTTTGCTGACTATTCAGTTAGTATTCACATCAGTCCAAAAGTGGAATGCTTTCTTTATACAGTACACTTACACAAAAACAAACTTGTTGCACTCAAATCCTCTCATAGATTTTCTTAGGAGTAAGAGCAATACATGAGATAAATCCCAGTATTTTCTGAGGCCCATTGCTTTTTGTACTTTCAAAGAATCATATTTCCTTTAAAGTGATATCTTTAGCCCATAGTCTTACACAGTTTTGGTTTTATAGAAATTCAGACAGGTTTATTAAAATACCAGTTAGAATCATATGGTAAATGGCTGACATAACAATGGGTCATGAAACAATTTTAGCAAAGAGTAACTCAAATATTTAGTATGTTAAATAGCTGAATACAGCTGATCAATGGAAGAGTGGACATGAGGGATGAAAGCCTGAATTTCAGTTATTGAGCTTTCCTTCAAGCACAGAAATTTGTTCTGGCTTTTATGCTAATTTAACTTTTTCTTCAACTTCTCTGTGTAAAAACAGTAGTGTCATTTGGTAGTGAAGTACTTCTAACAATACACAGAAAATTATACTTGAATGTTCATCACTTCAAATTAGATCCTTTAATTTGCATCTACATGGAAAAGACAAGATTTAATTTTTTTATGTGACTCAAAACTATTCATAAAACAGCACTACTTTGTGTACTGCCATAAATTATTTTCTAGATGGCTAAAAAATTGCATGCAAAAAAAATTGTGTGACTTTTACAGCAGAAACTTAATGAAGCTTTATTTTGGGTAATTATAAGTGTTTTACACACACTTCAGGAACTTCATAGGAGAAATATTTTACCAAAGCGTTCATGTTGTTCTTTTTTGTGAGGAAAAAAGTTTTTATTTTAACACAACAACATAAAGAGAGATTGCAAACTTAGATTTGGTATTAATTTTCTCTAATGTTATTCTGTGTTAAAACTCATCAGTTCTGACTTTACTCCTGTTCCAAACCTGACACTTCTGTATTTCAGTCACCTCTGTTTGTGAGATATATGGTGGTATACCCAGATAAAAAAGGACAATTTCCATTTAGATCTGAAAGTAAACAATCTGTGTTTTCTTATGCTCTTTGGTTTTCTGTGCTTGGGATTAGGGAGATCATGCTTTATGTAATCTAAATTTTCCTTTGAAAAGTGGGAACAAAAAACTTTGAAAAGTGATAATACCTAGATATGTTTTAAAATATGACAATCACAATAAATAAACACATCCACTGACTTCTTTGTTATGTGTACAAAATGTGATGATCCTCCATTTAGAATTAGGTAAGGTGAGTTATTTTGTTTTGAAAAGCATACAGTGCTTATTATATAAGGTATAATGCTAGGAACACTCATGTAAATCCTTACTAAGAGCCACAGAACGACAGAATTGGCAGGGAGGTGAATGTTTTCAAGCTGTGCTGTGGTTAACCTTGGTGCAGATTTGTCCAGGGTGTTTTTAGTCATTTTAAATATCACAGGTGTTGGAGACACACCAATCTCAGCAGGCAGTATATTCCTGTACTTCATAATCCTTTCTACTACAAATATTTTCCTAATACAGTAGCCCTTCTTGAAAAAAAACAAAAAAACAAAAAACAAAAAACCCAAACCCACCACCTTTTTTAAAAATCTTATTGTCTTGTACAATAGGGACATGGAATATTATTCATTTTTCCTTCAGTGCAGCCTTTCTAATATTGTCTCAGCCTAGAGTTTTGTTAATTGTCACAAACATTGGACTGGAACAGAACATGTTCCATTTATAATCTCTCCCAAGAATATGATTTTTTTTTATTATTATGAAATGAGGGAGGTTTTGGCAAATGAATGTAGCCATGGAAAGTCTAATTCATTCAGCAAGTCAGACACAGAGAGATACTGAATTTTAATATATCAGTGATACATGACTCATTTGAAATACATTTTTGTTCTGAATCTAATTATTTCTTATTGCCTAGCCTGGAAGGAAAATGGGACTTCTACCAAAGGTTAAAATTGGTAAGATATAAATTGAATTTGCATTCTGTTACATTGGGGTTTTTTGTATTGCCAAGCAAATATGAATAGCATTTAAGTAAATGCATGTATGTAGCACTTTTAAATTATTTTCTATTAACACTCAAATGTTCTCCCATAAATACAGATCTGTACTTTAGTGAAGTACATATGACAGTAACAGGACTTTATGGCAATGGAAGCAAGCAAATTTTTATTGCTCCATACTTCAGAAAATTACAAACAAGTAGCAATTTTATTAAAATGTGTGAATGAATTGCTACTGAAAAATATCATCAATGTGTATTTTGTTTAAATTATAAATAATAAACATCAGTTCTGTCTAGAGATTTATATTGTTGAGCTTGACTGCTTTGAATTTTACAGCAAATTGTAGAGTGTTGTGGATTTTACTTCAGGTCAGAAACTGTAATAAATTACTCATTCTGTTTTACAGTTCAGAGGATGGATAAAATATAATATGCTGGAAAGGAATGAGAAAAAAAGCCAGTGGAAGATGGCTCTACAATAAGTCCATTATAGTATCTAAATATTAAAAGTTATTATACAGAAGTGGAACATGTGGGTGCAGACCAACAAGGAAAAAAACACATGTAAGTCTAGGTAGCTGGTCTGCATAAGAAAAAAAATACATAATATATAATCTAAAGTTATGCTGTGTAAATTAAATGTTCTTGGTCCAACAATTTATCTAGCTGTCTTTTTGCAGGATGCCATCCACAGCTTGGGCTGTGACAATTTGATGCCATGAGTGCCCGGAGAGACAGGTCCCTGTGTTCTGTGCTAGGACAGATGGTGCTGGTCCTCTTCTCCCAAGACTGAGCAGTGATGCTGGTTGGGAGGTGTTAGGGAAATGGAGTGTGTGTCAGAAATAAGGGTGGAAAGAGTTGGGATGCTTTTCTGAGAGGTGAAGAGTGCAGTGATAGGGTTAAAACAGGACGGATCACAGACTTAAAGTCTTAGCTTTGATTAGATGGAATGCATGATGAGAGGTGAGGATGGTGTGAAAATCAAATTAAGAAAGATACAAGACAAACGAGTATCTTAAAATAGTTAAAATTTTAGTCTGACTAGATTGGGCTGGCTAAAGATTTTCTGTTTCTGGAATGTATCAGGGCGTTCTCAGGGAATAATAGTCTCAAATTCAGTCTATTCTTAATAGCAGTTCCACTGATTGGTTTGACTTCTATGATTAGGTTAGAATGCATATAACTGAGTCATTTTTTAATTGTGTACATTTTTATTGTGTACACTTTTGTAGACATTTTGGGTCAACTGAGTCACCTAAACACACATTTCTGGTCTAATTCAGCATGTCCTGGGACGTGTGCTGGGGGCTAGGGCTGTGGAACTTTGGGACAAGCTGCAAAATAATGGCTTTATTTATGTGTAAAGTGCAGAGGGAACAAAAATTTTTACAGAAAAGCAGAAAGCTTACTGAAATGCTTCCATTTTTTATTTAAAAGATTGCATCTCCCTTGATCCAGAGAGAATTGCAAATCTGTGTGGTTGTCAGCTGTGTGGTTTCTTTTTCTTGAGCTGTCACTATTTTGTTCAGTATGGGAAATGCAAGAAGGGCTCTTCTCTTTAGAAGACAGAGCAGAGGTTTGCTCTGGCTGAGTGCCTGACCATTTGCTGCAGAAAGGCAGAGCTCTTTCCCTCCTCCTTTGTCCCTCTGTGAATCCTCATGCTCTCTTTTTTGTGGATCCAGGATGTAGATACAGCCTCCTTCAACAGGAAATCATTATTGGGTGTTGTCTCCTCCAGGCCAAATATGTGTTTGCTCTGAGCATTCACAGACTGTGGAAAATAAAGCATGCCTGGACTTTTCCAAGTTCTGGAACTTATGATTAGTGGCCTTTATTTTCTCTGGCACTGTAGATGATGTTTGGTGATGGATCATTTCAAAATTATAGGGTATTTAGTAAATACAATCATTAGCACACTCTCATTTATTGCAGCTTTTTGTTCTGCTCCTGTGCCAAAAAAATTTGTGAGTTTTTACTTATGGCTGGACAAGATCTGTCCTCAGGGCCAGATGTAAACCATTTGCTTTGTAAATTACAGTTTCCTGAAAAAGGTCAGTGGTACCACAGTACCCTGATATTGAGTTATTGGCAGAAAATTATTGCTGTGTTTTAAAGGTGGCTTCTGTGGTCTTGATACTGAGTTTTAAATTAGGTGGAGTTTTGGAGTTAAGGAAGTCATCCACATGTCCAAATTAAACAGACTTTTGGTTACAGAAGCCCATGATGGATCCAACTATATTTATCATGGATGCAGGTCTTTGAAGAGATGAACAAGATTTGCTATCAAAAAGGCCTACACATTTCTATACCTTAAAAAATCTTTGTAAACCCCAACTGCATTCTGAATCAGCTAAAAATCTTTAAAATGAGCTGTAGCAAGTGGCTGTAGCAAGTGGCTATAGCAAGTTCCAAAAATTCTATTATAAGAACATAAAGCCAGAAAACCTGGAAGAAGTGAACAGAGATAGCTTGTTGAACATACTTTGAGGACCTGAATTGTATTACCAAGGCAGTTAAATGCTAGTGGGAAAAGACACATTATTAGTAGTTTTCCTACTGATTTTTCCATTTCTATTGAATGAATTTATAGTCTGTGGGGAGTTGTGTAGCTAATATGGAAATACCCTTCTGTAACCCACAGTGGCATCTTTGCTGTGTTTTCACGCTGATAACTTACTATTAACTTACATATCTTAAATGCAAAGTTCTTTGGAAATGTTTAAGAAAAAATTCTCTTCAGTGGCAGGATATGGGATAAAATTATAAAGTGTTTTTTTTTTATTTTTGCTATCAGCCAATTACCATATCAAGTTTAAACTGCTGCCATTAGTGTATTATTGTGCAGTTATAAAAGTAATTACATTACAAGCGTGAAGTTTCACTCATATAAAAGTTGCTTTAGGAAAAGTGATGAAGGATATTTAACTGTGTTCCTTTCTGTTTTTTTCTTCATACTTAGAATTGCAGATTTAAGTGTTGCATATCAGATATTTCAGCATGTGATGGTGCAATTCAGTACTGCAAATGGTTATGGATATGCGACATTTTAGCATGTAAACATGTAGAAAATATTATGCAGAAGTGACATCCATGTTTGTTATGTTTGAATCTTTGAGATTGCTGTTCTTTTCACTGGTCTAGCTTTAAGGTATCAGTAAATGCTACCTTGCTAGGAGCCCCCTGGGCCTTCTCCAAATGAACAGTTGGAGGTCTCAGCCTTACTAATAGGGATTATGCTCCCATTCCTTAGCCATCTTTTTGGCCATTGTTGGACTCTCTCCAGGGTGTCCATGTCTCACATGTACTGGGAAGCCCAGAACTGCACACAGTACTCCAGGTATGGCCTCACTTGTGCTGAATGGAAAAATCACCTCTCTGGATCTCTTGGCAGCACTCCTAATGCAGCCCAGGATACCACCCATCTTCTTTTGGCAAGGGCACATCACAGGCTCAGGTTCAACCTGGTGTTTAGCAGGACCTCCAGGTCCTGTTCTGACAGCCTGTTTTCAAGCTGGGCTGCCCCCAAAGTGTTCCAGTGCTTTGAGTTGTCCCTTCCCAGATGCCAGATTTTGCACTTCTTGAACTACATGGGGTTCCTGTCAGCCCCTTTCTCCAGCCTGTCAAGGTCCCTCTGGATGGCAGCATGATCCTCTGGTCTATCAGACACTGCTCCCAGTTTGGTGTCATCTGCACACTTGCTGAGAGTACACTCTGTCTCATTGTCCAGGTCATTAATGAAGATGTTAAGCAGGACTTGCCCCAGTATTGACCCCTGGCTATACTGTTAGTTACTGGCCTCCAACAAGAGGCTCACTCACAGTAAAAAACAAACAAACAAACAAAACCCATACCAAAAAACAACAACAACAACAACAAAGTCCAAGATTAATGAGCTGTTCAGTACTTGATTCTATTCAAATCAAAATCCATCTAGATGTAAAAAAGCATCTTAGTTCTTCCTGATTCTGTGCATGTAAGTACATGTGACTGAGGGTTTGGAGGTTAATTCTCTTTGTGACAGCATTTTGCAATAGTTTCAGGTCAGTAATATTTTTCTCAATATGGTTGTATGCTCCACTAAGCAGAGAAGTGGGCAGGAAAACTAAAAGCCTTTATGATCAGTGTGAGAGGTTTAGTCGTAGTGTGAAAATGTGCTTGATTTGTTAGGAATCACCTGCATCCCAACTGTTACTCATTTATTTTATCATGAAGAGTCTGAAAACATCTTGGAAGTGTTTTCATGAGAAGAAAAACTAGGCAAGATCCCAAACATTTTTTGATTCCTGGCACAGTATTTCTGAAGCAGGAGAATGTTACTGATTGACTCTTTTCTAGCCTACACTTTAACTGAATGCAAATGATAAAAAAGAAAAGGAAAATGTTTTTATTTTCAAAATAAAAAAGTGGGGTTTAATGTTTTGAGACGATAACGCATTTATTATTTAATTAGATAATACATTATTGAAATTGTTGATGCAGCCTATAGCAAGTAGAGTGATTTCATTTGCTTTAGAAAATGACTGTAGTTATGGGTGAGAACAATTTTGTCTCTAGATTGGTGATGAAAAAGAAAAACTGGCTAAGAATAAAAAGTATTTTGGTCATGGTTTTGCCTTTTATATCACAAGATAAAATAACATTCTCAATGATACCAGCATGCAGATTGTTTAGTGACAGAATTTAAATCCAGTATCATCATGAATTTTGGGAGCTAATAAAGAAAGCAAGGCAAAATAAACTATACACAGCCATATCACCTCCTTTATGGGTATTGTACTTAAAAACATTAAATCCTTCTATAACTGTTTTTCTTATGTATTTGGGTACAAAACAAAAATCGTTGTAAGGTTTCTTGTGTCTAGAGCTAAAAAAAAAGTAAAGAACAGTTGTGATAGAATTATATCTTGTATACAAGCAGCTTTCACTGTCACATTGTTTAACTGATTCATATCTAGTGTTGGAGCATCAGTATGTTGATTGCCATCCATTTTCATTTATCTTATTAGATTCAATTCTTGTCTCTACAAATGTTGCATTTTCCATTTTTGTAGATAATTAATGTTTTCTGCAGGCTCAAAATCAAGCATTTTGTCTATTTACATCTACTGAGGGCTATTTTAAACTAGTTGTGATGAATCATATATGACAGTCTACAGGGACTTTTGGAAAACATTGATTTTAAACCTGTTTCTTCTGACTTTGAAGATACACAATAGGTTTTTTAAGCATGAAATGCATTTCAATCAGTATGCTATTGATATTTAGATTAACTGCATATGTTTTTTTGTTGAAACTCATTGGCTAGCTATATTTATTATATTGCCTACTTGTGTCGTTCTTTTTAAGTTCTTCTGGATGGTTTAATGTTGCCGCAAAGCTATCTATTTTCTTTTAGAGATTGAAAATCATGTTGAGATTCTTTTCCTTTGACATTTTTTCTGCTAACAAACTGAGTTGAACTGTCTGTTCAATTATAGGCTACCTTTTCATTTGAAATTATCCGAGCTACAGCTCTGACCTCATCTTTCCAAATGAATCCAAGATTACATAGGTTTTGGCAACAT